ATTTGCACCTAGAGACCTCCCCAAATATACCAGGCACGTGCATGCCCATATTCCAGGGCTGGGTAAAGATGGGGATGAACAACAGTGTGAAGACTCTGATGTTGGTATCTGCCCTTCCCTCCCCTCCCAGTCTCTGTCTATAACTCTCTCTCAGAGAAGAAAGAAATTAATGAACGTAAAATAAGAATTGCTGGCAGGCCAGCAGGAGGCATAGTGGTTGAGGGCACTGGACTCTCACATGGCCGACAGTGGTTCAAGTCCTGGACCTGGTGGCTTACTTTCTCACCCACTCTGTCCCTCCCTGGTCAAATGAAAATAAATAAATAAATAAATTTAAATAAAATAATTCTTAAAAATAATCATAATAATTGCTGGGATGGCAGGTGGTATGGTAGTTAGGTCTCTGGATCCCACATGCCAAACTCAATGAGTCCCAGACCAGGATGCTTGAGGCATATGTGCATGCATGCCCAAAATCCCCAGAGGAGAATGAACTGTGGTGAGGCCACTGCTCTAGTAGGATGGCCTTTCTCTCTCTCTCTGGCAAGTGCAAGCAAAACTGGGAGGGGGGAAAAAAAAAACTGTTAAGGATAATTTTAAAACCTTCAAGACATGATTCAAAAATTTAAGAAGTACGGCCCAGCTCCAACAATGCAGTGGTAACACAATGCTCTGCAATGCTGAAGCCATATGGGACGCCAGGCCAACATGTGCACACGTGGGGTGATTCTGGTAGTTGGGAATGATTGAGCAGGATGATGGGATAAGGCCCTGTTGAGAGTGCATGTCTTTCTCTCATGAAAGAAATGAATAAACGAAACTTAAACTAAAAACAATTTTAGAGGGGTGGTAGTTAAGACATGGGAATCCCACACGGCCGACTGCAGTTTGAGTCCCAGACATAGCACCTTGAAAATCACAACAAATAAATTGATAAATAAATGTGTTTTTAAAAATTGTTTTAGGAAGTAAAAAACAGTGGTTTAGAATACTCTAAGAGCTCCTCAAAGTAAATATTCTAATATTACTTTAAACGAAAGAGTAAACCATCTGCTAATAATTTAACTTAAAGACCTTAAGTTGTCTCCTATCAACCACATTTATGTACAGTTACGGATTTTTATCTAAATCCAATCTCTTCAGGATTTAGGAAATCCTGCTTTGTTTTGGAAAGACATGTCCCATCACACTTTATCCTCCTGCCTCATTAAAATAACTCTTATCACGGATACCAGCACTTTCACATTGCTAAATCAAATGGTTAATTTTCAGCCCTCATCTTTTCTTGATAATTATTCATTCATTCATTCGTTTTAATTTGACCAGAGAGAGACACATACACGGGGGGAGGGGGGAAGCAAGTCGCCAGGTCCCCATAGGCCGTGTGGGGAGTCCAGCACCCCTAACAACCACACCACCTGCCAGCCCCTTCAGACCTCCCCTTAACTGTAGCATTTGTAGTGAGTTGATCACTACTTCTTCCTTGAAACACTCTCCTTATTGGCTTCAGGATATCCTCTAACCTGGTTTTCGTTGTACCTCTCTCTCTAGTTGTTGCTACAAAGTCTCCTTTGATGTTCCCTCCTCATCAGCCTGACCTCTGGAGTTAAATAAGTTCTTCAACCTTTCTTACTTCCATCTCTTCTCAGGCCCTGGTGATCTCAGCCAGCTTCTTGACTTTAAATACAATCTTTGTCAACATCACCCAGAAGTGATTACCTCCAGCAGCCCCTTCTCTCCTGAATTCCAGATTCATAAACCCAACTGCCTTCTCAACATCTCTAAGAACCATCTAATTTATGCCCCAAACCGAGCTTGTTCTTCCTCTCCAAACCTGTTCCTCCTTCCATCTTTCCCATCTCAATATATGGCAATTGTACCCTTCTAGGAGCTCAGTGCAAAAACCTTGGTGTTGACCTTAACTCCTTCCTTGTACAGTACATATTCAAGCTACCAGCAAAACCTATTGCCCCTTCATGAAAAAATATGCCCTGAGGGACCAGCAGTTAGCATAATGGCTATGTCGCTGGACTCCCATGTAGTCGACCAGGGTTCGCGTCCCGGCCCCGGAGGCTTAAACTCATGCCGGGCGTGTGTGCATGCGTGCCCAAGATCCCGAGAGGAGAATGGAGGAGAAGGGATTGTGGCATGGTCATCCCCCCTGGGGGGTGATTTCTCGCTTTGTCTCTGGCTCTCTCTCTGTCTGGCAAGCGCACACACCCTATAGCAAAAACCTCTCAAAAAAAAAAAAATATGCCCTGAATCAGATCACATGTCACCATAGTCACTGCAACTCTCTAGTAAATCACCATCCTCTCATTCCGTTACAGTAACAGCCTAACTGG